CAGTGAAGGGAGTAGTGTAACTGTCAAAAGGAAAGTTAGAGGTTTGGCGCGCGCGCCTAGTTCAAATGTAGAGGCGCGCGGAAGTGCAGGGAGCCCGGAGGAGGGGCCAGGTCCCAAAGCCCGCAGGAGGGGGAAAGAGCAGTCTGGGGATTCCGCGTCAGAGGAATCCAGGAGGGGCGAAACCCCAGTGGGCAGAAGGACCCTGCGGAAAAGGAAGGAGAGAAAGAGGTGGAGCAGCGCAAGTCTCTTAAATTGGTGCAGGGGAGGAACTGACTCAGAGGGGACTTCGGCGGTCTAGCGTAAGAGACGTAAGGCTGCGCGCCTAGGATGTCAAGCAAACCATGAACTGCAATAAACACTTTTGTATATAAGAAGACAGAGGCGTTGGTCTTTTGTGAGCTAAGACTTGAGGCAGCCTTGACACATATCCTTTTCTGAACTCCTCATGATTGGGACAGAACCTCGCTGGCATGCTCATCAAAGCACACATTTGTTCCAAGAAACCCATCAGCCAACAATCTTTTCCAAGAGACTCATCCTCCTTGCTTATCCTGAAACATGAGATCCAAGTGTGTTATGAAACTTTGATATTTCCCATAAAAAAACTGGGACTGACGGTTGTGGGGGTGTGAGAGCTGGTACAAATTACTGGGCTCCACTGGTTGGAAGGGGGCCCCAGGGCCTGGTTCTCTTGCACAAGTTTTAGGCAATTCTTTTTTATTATTCTGTTTTATTGTTTTTCCAAGTTTGTAACAAAACAAACACAATACAAATATAAAACATACATAACATGAAACACACATAATAAAAAAGATACAAAAAAGAAGTACACATTACTCAAAAAAAGAAACATAAAAACATTGCTTCCAATACCTAATTTAACTTCATTGTTAACTGACTTCCTCGAATCCCCCCATCTGAATTCCATTGTATCTCCTTGTGGCAGTTCTCCTAAATCTTAATTCTAATAATATAAAATCCATTTAATTACTATCTTCTATTCTTTTATTAATTCTAATCCCTATTGTTTTACAGCCCGTTATTGTTATAATCCTCCGCCTATTTGTCACTTCCAAGTCACTTCCATTTTCTTATATTACAATATTTAGCCAAATATTCTTTAAATTTCTTCCAGTCTTCTCGAGTCTTCTCCTCCTTCTGATCACGGATTCTTCCAGTCAGGTCAGCAGCTCCAAAAAGTCCAACATCTTCTTCTGCCATTCTTCTATTGTTGGTATTTCTTGGGATTTCCAGTTTTTTACTATTAGTAGTCTTGCCACTGTAGTGGCATACAAAAACAATCTAACATCCTTTTTGGGCAATTCCAGACCTATTATTCCAAGTAGAAAGGCTTCTGGTTTCTTAATAAATTTATTTTTCAACATTTTCTTGAACTCGTTATAAATCTTTTCCCAGAAGTCTTTCACCTTGGGACACATCCACCACATATGATGGGTGGGTCTTCTCGGTAGTGGCGCCCGGCCTGTGGAACACCCTCCCATCAGATGTCAAGGAAATAAACAACTATCTGACTTTTAGAAGACATCTGAAGGCAGCCCTGTATAGGGAAGTTTTTAATGACTGATGTTTTATCCTGTTTTTAATATTCTGCAGGGAGCCACCAAGAGTGGCTGGGGAAACCAGGCCAGATGGGCGGAATATAAATAATAATTATTCTTTTAATTATTATAATTATAATTACTGTCAGGGGTTCAGGGAGAGAGGCACAGGGTAGGCAGGAGATGGAGAGCGATGGGGAGGAATTCCAAGCCAGCGAGGAAGAGGATGACAATGACTCAAGAGATTCCATGAGTCTTTCCAGCGAATCAGAGGATTCCCAGAAGGGGCGCCGGTGGTCAAGGCCAGGAGCCCCAGGGGGGAAGTGTCAGGAGCAGGGTGCCAGCGGAGGATCCCAAAGTGGCAGCTGGGCGTCAGGACCAGCCTCCCCACCAGAGTGCAGCGAAGGGGGTGGAGTTTCCAGTGTGTCAGAGGAAGCAGCTCCAGCAGCAGAGAAAGGAGGGGGTCAGAGCAAGCCGCCCTCCCGGAAGGGAGGGAGCAGTGAAGGGAGTAGTGTAACTGTCAAAAGGAAAGTTAGAGGTTTGGCGCGCGCGCCTAGTTCAAATGTAGAGGCGCGCGGAAGTGCAGGGAGCCCGGAGGAGGGGCCAGGTCCCAAAGCCCGCAGGAGGGGGGAGAGCAGTCTGATTCCGCGTCAGAGGAATCCAGGAGGGGCGAAACCCCAGTGGGCAGAAGGACCCTGCGGAAAAGGAAGGAGAGAAAGAGGTGGAGCAGCGCAAGTCTCTTAAATTGGTGCAGGGGAGGAACTGACTCAGAGGGGACTTCGGCGGTCTAGCGTAAGAGACGTAAGGCTGCGCGCCTAGGATGTCAAGCAAACCATGAACTGCAATAAACACTTTTGTATATAAGAAGACAGAGGCGTTGGTCTTTTGTGAGCTAAGACTTGAGGCAGCCTTGACAATTGTTATTGTTAGAGAGCCCACATAGCAAGGGCTCGAGGTATAGCACAGCAGGGCAGGAGGTGCCAGAGGTCCTCTTGGTTCTGGCTAGGGCTGCCTGCCGTTCCCAAGTCACCTGTTGCTGGGCTCTCTGCATCCTTCCACAACTGTGGTACAAAAGATGAAACTTCCCTTCTCCAAACATTGCAGTCCTACTGTAAAAGTGCCTCCCCATATCAACTTTTTTTTAAAAAAAAACCCAAACCACTGACAACAACTTAATGTAATGTGCAGTTAGGTCCTCAGAATGTTTAATTCCAAAAATATTTTTAGACTCTTTTTCTTTTTCCTTTTCGCTGTATTGTATTTAATTATTACAATACAATACAATACACATGTATATCTTCCAAGGATCTCAAGGTGCTCTACGTGGTTGTCCTCCTCCCCACCACAACCCTGTGAGGAGGGCTAGGTTGAGAACCTCCTGGCACCAGGTCAAAGGATGGTGTAAAGTTGCCCCAACGATGGGAGGGGGGAAGTGGTGTGTTGGGGGAGCAGGGGTAGATCAGGATCTACTGAGTGATTCGTGGTAGATCTTCTAGGACTTGTTGGTTTGTTTGTTTCATAACATTTATATACCGCTTGGTTTTAGAAAAAAACAACTTGCAGCGCTTTTTGTGGTCCCGGATTGTTTAACAAGAGCTTTCAAATTAAGCTATTGGAACAAATGAATACTGTTTTTTGGTGGGGAGGGGGAAACCAGGAATAGCTCTCTGCGTTTGAGAAACAGGAGCTTGTTTCTAGGACTGAAAACAAATACTTAGCCTCAGAGACTGCTGCAGATGTCTCCTGCTTGCCTTTCAAGGATCTCTCGACCCCTTTTTCTGAGCTTGATCTAAAGTAAAAAGCAACAACACACCTTTCCCTGCCCGGCAGATCTCCAGGCCGTGCTTAACATTCTAAACTTCCCCATGTCTCATTTTATTTGCCTTTTCTCTAAACCAGTCTCAAACACGCAACATCATTTTGTGGCCCTTTCCTGAACCTTTTCCAGCTCTACAATATCCTGTGGTCACCCCATAGATTTGAATAATGGCATTATGATATGGGTAGCTACTTTATTGTCAATTCCTTTCCTAATGATCCCTGTAGAGCTTCAGTGTCATTGTAACCCTTTGGTTACAATGACCCTGAACAGTTTAGTGCCTCCAGCAAAAGTGGCCACTTCACAGCTCATCTATAACTCTAGGGTCGTTTAGAAAGCACAGGTCCCAATCCTTGGGGACTCCACTTTCTACATCTCTCCATTGGCGGCCAGGTCCATTTCTCCCTGCTTCCGGAAACTTAGCCAACTCCTGATCCGGAAGAGGACCTCTCTGCTCTTAGAATCATGGAATTGAAGAGTTGGAAGGGACCTCAGATGTCATCTGTTCCAACCCCCTGCGATGCAGGAACCGCAGGGAAAGCAACTCCTTATTCCTTCACTGCTAAGTTTACTCGGGAGTAGTTGGTGAGGTACTTTGTCGAAAGGCTTCTGAAAGCCCGCGGACACTTTGAGAGCGGGGCCTGTTACTCGTTTTCAGTGTCAGGTAGGTAGCCGTGTTGGTCTGATGCAGTACCTCTGCAAACGAAATATTTTTTTAAAAAAAATAGTGCAGTAGCACCTTAGAGACCAACTAAGTTTGTTAGGGATGCGGGTGGCGCTGTGGGTTAAACCACAGAGCCTAGGGCCTGCTGATCAGAAGGTCAGCGGTTCGAATCCCTGTGACGGGGTGAGCTCCCGTTGCTCGGTCCCTGCTCCTGCCAACCTAGCAGTTCGAAAGCACGTCAAAGTGCAAGTAGATAAATAGGTACTGCTCCCACGGCGTTTCCGTGCGCTGCTCTGGTTCTCCAGAAGTGGATTAGTCATGCTGGCCACATGACCCGGAAGCTGTACGCTGGCTCCCTCGGCCAATAAAGCGAAATGAGCGCAGCAACCCCAGAGTCGGCCACGACTGGACCTAATGGTCAGGGGTCCCTTTACCTTTACTTAAGATTGTTCTTGGTATTAGCATACATACGAAAGCTAATACCAAGAAAAAGGGAGTTTCTAAGGTGCTACTGGACTATTTAAAAAAAAAAAAATTCTTTGCAGAGGTACACTGCCCCTCACCGTGGACGCTCAGTTTAGCCACGGAGAGACCTTAGGATAGAGGAAATCGGGGCCGGCCCCAGGCTGCTGCGGAGCTTCGCGATTGAGTTCGGCTGCTTTGAAGCGGCTCCTCCAGGTCGCAAAGACGCAGCCGCGTTAGCCTCGCCAGCCTCCGCACGCCGGGGGTGCGGCGGAACAGAAGCGGCGTTCCCGGGCTTGCCTGGAGCCCAGCCAGCTGATGGTAGTAGTTGGCGCCCCTTCCCTGTAACAGCCTGCAGGCGTGGCCCCTATCCCTCCCCTCCAGGAGGTGCCCAGAGGCGGCGCTGATGGGCGGAGAGCCCCAGGCGGGGCGGGGCGCCCCCGATAAAAGGGCCGCGCGCGCGCTCCGACGGCACCCGAGACTTTGAGCTGCCAAGATGACCAGCGACGACAATAGCCACTTGATGCATGTTCGGATGCTGCTCCAGTTCCATGCCAAGGACATCGGCGCCGAGGCCATCATCAGGTAAGCCCAGCCCGTCGGGCAGGGACCCTCTCCCGGGGACGAGGCCGCGGGCCGGGCCGGAGTCGGACCCTCGTCTTCCTGCTCCTCTCCTCCTCTTCCCGCAGGATGTTCGCAGCGCACCCCACCACTAAGACCTACTTCATGCACATCGACATCGCCCCCGGCGCCTTCGACAAGCTCAGCGACCTGGACGCCCAGAAGCTGCGCGTGGAGCCCGTCAACTTCGCGGTGAGTCGCTCTCGCTCCCCGTCGGGGCACCAAGCGGGCGGGCGGGCGGGCTGGATCCCTGCTTAGCTCCGCCCGAGGCCCCGTCTAACGCTCCCCCTCCGCCTCTCCCGCAGCTGCTGGGCCGCTGAATCCTGGTGGCCATCGCCGCCAACCACCCGGGGCTCCTCAAGGCCAGCACCCTCGTCTCCATGGACAAGCTCCTGAGCCGCGTCGATGTCGCGCTGACCTCCAAGTACCGCTAGCCCCCCAGAAGCCCAAGCCCGCCGCAGAATATCCGCCTCGACGCCGCCCCGCGACCCCAAACACCCCAATAAACCTGCTCTTGACTCTCCCTGATCTCTCGCGTCTTCTTGGGCTGAACTGGGGGCGGGCGGGAAGAAGGGAGAGGGGACCCCGGGGGCCTGGACGGCTCTGGCGAGGGAGACCCCGTCCCGCGGGATAGTCCCTACCTTGGCGCTCCTTGAACCCGGGGCCCTTGGACCGAGTCGCCTGCTAAGTGGGGACCCTGAAAGAACCGCAGGCACGCGTGGCCTTTGCCGGACGGGGGCGCAGAGTCCGGCTCAGACCAGCCCGAAAGCCCCGAGAACCACAGCTGCCAGCCCGTGTATGCAATACGGCCCGGGTTGGATGCAATAGAAGGCAGCTTCCTAGGATCCTGCGCTCGAGGGCAGAGGCAGCCCCCTCCCCACAGCCAAGCCCACTTCAAGGCCGGGGGGGGGGGCAGTGCTAGGGGTCTTCTCCACACCCGCACTGAGAGGGCACGGGAAGAGGCCCGCAAGCAGGAACCCTGCCTGGGAGAGGGCGACTCGGGCTCTGGAACCACCGCCAGTTCCCGAGATCACTAGGACCCACCAGAGCAATGGGAAGGGCGCGTGGCAAGGGGGGGCCGCCCTCCCTCCCCCACTCCATCTGCTCACAGCAATCGGAGGAGCCACGCCCACAGTGGCACAGGTGGGCTGTGTGGGGCAGATCTAGCCCAGCGCCAGGAGGCCCTTTGCAATGGCGCCGCCGCCCAGAGGCACGGCAAAACCCTAACCCTAAGCGGAGCCCGCTGGATCAGGCCAAACGCCCATCTAGCTGCCATCACAGGGGCTGCTCATGCAAGCTCCTTCCTCAGCGTCCCACGTCCCGCTCTACCAGGCAGAGCCTCGGACCACGAGGTGGCTCCCAGGCTGGCTAGTCAGGAAGGCAAACTTTACGCACCTTTGCTGCAGAACCGAGTTGGCTCTGGGCCCCAAGCGGTTAACCCCATGTGGGGCTTCGGGGCAGCCGCTGGATTCCCTGCGCGCAGGCTCCCCCTGTTGCTCCTGGGTGGGAATGGCAGGAAGAACAGCCCTTTGGGAAGTGAGGCCTTGGTCTGGTGCCCCCCCATCAGCTCATGCGCCCCACCGAAGGGGCTGCAGAGTCCTCAGGCCAGCCGGGCTTTTGGCCCCGTTACCTAAAAATACAGCAGTGAAGTGGAAAGGCCCCTTTACTGCTGCCTAAGCATCCTATCTCCTCCCTATCATCGCATTTATACCCTGCCCTCCCCAGAGCAGGCGTAGAGCAAGTTACAGTAGTCTAGTCTGCAGGTGACCACTGCATGGATCACCATGGCTAGGTTGGAAAGGGACAGGTACAGTACCAACTGCCTAACCTGGCATAGATTAAAAAATGTCAGTTCGGCTACATTTGTGACCGGTGCCTCCATAGAGACAGAAGCATCCAGCATCACACCCAGACTTCTGACGGTGACCACCAAGAGCTGGGAGCTGGCAAACCGAACTGAAATCACTCCTGCCCAGCCATTGGACCCCCATCTTTAATGCATTGAGATTCAGTCGACTCTCCATCCCAGCACCCACCTAAAAATTGGCCAATATATCTAGAGCAGCATCTGGCTGGCACCACAAAGCAGTAGATCCACGATTTTTGTGGTCAGATCTGTTGTTATGTACGAGATATTTGAATAAAGGGTGAATTTGGGGTGACCCAATGCAAAACCCCTGAGGATCCATGAGGATCCATGGTTCATTTGGAACCATGTTTTTGGGCCATGGTATGGATCCATGATTTTTGTGGTGCATACTGTGCCCATGGCCATGATGTGTGATCTGATGGTGACTTCGGGCTGATCTAGTGCAAAAATCATGAGGATCCAAGAGGATCCATGCTTTTTAACCATGTTTTTGAGCCATTGTGACCCCACAAAACAGTGGATGCATGATTTTTGTGAAGCTGCCTACAGATTAAGACATGGTCTACAGTATCATGGTGGTTTTATTTCATTTGAATGAAAAAAATCATATGAATTCATGAGGATCCGTTTAAAATCATCTGGATCTGACTTTTACCCTTTCCATGGAGGCACAGATTACAGCAACAGCCAAGGCGACATTTTTCCACCTTCACCGGATCAAGCAGTTGGTCCCTTACCTTTCCTGCCCCAACCTGGCCACAGTGATCCATGCGACGGTCACCTCCAGGCTTGACTACTGTAATTTGCTCTATGCGGGGCTGCCCTTGAAGCTGTCCCAGAAACTCCAGCGGGTGCAGAATGCTGCAGCAAGGCTCCTCACAGGGTCTCTGCCATGGGAGCATATTCACCCAGTGCTTTTCCAGCTGCACTGGCTCCCTTTGGAGTACAGGGTCAGATTTAAGGTGGTGGTTTTGACCTTTAAAGCCCTTCACGGCCTGGGACCCTCGTATCTATGGGACTGCCTCTCCCGGTACGCCCCATGGAGGACCTTAAGGTCCATAAATGGTAATACCCTAGAGGTGCCGGGCCCTAAGGAAGTTAGATTAGCCTCAACCAGAGCCAGGGCCTTTTCAACACTGGCTCCAGCCTGGTGGAACACTCTGCCTCATGAGACCAGGCCCTGCAGGGTCTGATTTCTTTCCACAGGGCCTGTAAGACAGAGTTGTTCCATCTGGCCTTTGGCTTGGAGTCAGTTTGATTCCCTCCCCCTTTTTCTGCATTTTAATGTTTCAGTGTTTTAATGTTGTATTTTAATCTTGATTTTATTCCCTTCCTTCTTTCTTTGAACATGAAAGATATCCCTTCTGGGATATTCCCATTTGTATCTTATTCCTTTGTTCTGTACAGCCTCCGCTAAGGACTTGTAAATCTGCCTTTTCCTCAATAATCTTTTGGGAATTTATTTATATATTGTTATATTTTTACCGTTGATCATCAGTTTCCTTTTTTGTAGAATCTTGTCTTTCAGTAGTCTTGAATTTAGAAAAACCAAACAATCTCCTGGTCCTTTGAAATTCTTAATTCAATCAGGTTTAATTCTAAAGATCTTTATATCCAGTAACAAGTCCTCCTCTTGCACCTCGAGCCAAATGGCCAATTCTTTTGTTAATTAGGCAAATACATCCTCATTCTGTCTTTCGGGAATCCCTCAAAAATGTAATACCAGTTCTCTCTGGTGCATTTCGAGTAGCACAATTTGATCAAGCTTCTCCCAATGAATTCTTTTTAGTTCCGATAGTTCAGTGTTTGTTGCACCTTGACCTTTCATAGAATAGAATCATAGAGTTGGAATAGACCACAAGGGCCATCGAGTCCAACCCCCTGCCAAGCAGGAAACACCATCAGTTACACTCACCTTTCTTCAGTTCTCTAATCTTGTTATGTACTTTCTCTGTGGTTTCTTTCATAATTTCCTCTTGTTTACTAGTTTTTGATTTTAAATCGTGGACAGTCTTCTCTATCTCTAGATTTTTAATGGTCAAGTCCTTTATTTCTCCAGTTAAGTACGTTATTAATCTAGAGTTCTGCTCAGTGTTGTTTCCCATAATATCTAATTTATCGTTGATGGATTTGTTCATGCCTATGATTAAATCTCTTAAGTCTACATTGGTATCTATTTCGACCATAGATTGCCTCCTTGCAGTTCCCACTGGGATTCATTGTGATTTCTTATTGGTAGACATTGTGTTGTCTTCTTTATACGCCCACACCTCCCTAGATGCACACCAAGATAGACTTTGTCCCAGTTTTTTATAATCTGTTATTGCTGTTGATACTAAATTCAGAGTTGCGTCTAGTAAGAGAGATCTGGGGGTATCTAAGAAGTTAATACTTTAACACTGATACCGTATTGGGGGAAAAACTAATTCAAAAATCTCATTCCACTCCTTATGATCTTAAAATCTAATATCTAAATCTAAATTCTATGTATAGGCGTTCAATTAATAAAATTCATCAGGTCATTTGCAATCACCATTTTTGTTATAATTACAATCAATTAATAAAAATTGTTATAATTGTTCACAGAGCATTGGTAGAATTTAATACAAGTTCATGCACCCAATAGAATATGTTATCTATGGTTAGAAGAATTGGTAAGAAAATATTTGCAAATGTATTTAAATACTAGAATTGTTAAAATGAGTTACTAAGGTTTCCCAGTCTTTTCCATTAATTTGGACTGTCTGGTGGCAGTTATGCCTCTTGTCACTAGACGTTGCTGCAGGTAATACAAGGTTGGTATACAGAAGCAGTTTATTGCGTTGATGAGCCTCTAAGCTATATCATCCTGACGCTGCTGCTGGTTCCTTTACTGTGAGGAAGAAGGCGGAAGTTGACTCAGCTTTTTTCCTGTGCCATCTTAAGATTAACTATGCCTTTAATATGCCATCTTAAGGCAGCCCTGTTCAGGGAAGTTTTTAATGTGTGACATTTTAGTGTATTTTTGGTCTCTGTGGAAGCCACCCAGAGTGGCTGGGGAAACCCAGCCAGATGGGTGGGGTACAAATAATAAATTATTATTATTATTATTTAATAATTAGAGCCCCTTTCCTCTTTCTCTAATTCTGTTTAGCAATTTTACTTACTTCCCCCCTCCTCAGCTTAACATCCCAGGCCCCTTAGCCTTTTTATTTCCTGGTTGCTTTCTCAGTGGTTCTTCTTTCCAGTCTCCTCTCCATCCTCCGTCCATCTTTTTCGCCAGCCGCTTTCCTCCCCAGTCTATTCTGCGCAGTGGCATAGGAAGAGGGGGGTGGGGGGAGTGGATCGCCCCGGGTGTCATCTCTGAAGGGGTGACAAGAGGGCACTCTGCTCCATGGCTCCAGATTGGTAGAGCCCACCTGTCAGGGGTTCAGGAGCAGAGGCACAGGAAAGGGAGGAAATAGAGAGCGA